CAAGAATGTGATTCCTTCTGAAATTAAATGAACAGAGACCTACACTCCAAGTGTGGATCAAATGTACTCCGTTACTCTTGAGTCCTCTGGACAACTTTAAAACACTTGCATGATGGGGATGTTTCATTGAAGGAACCAGACTAAATGCAGTCCAAAGTCAGACCCCTAAACGGCATACAAAGACACAGGTAGGGAGGGGCCTCAGCACCAGCTGAGTCTAGGTCAGTCTGCTCATCTGCCCTCATTGAGCTGATAATTATCAGCTAATATAGAAAAAGCTCTTAACTCAGAGTGTGAATAGAGACTAAAAACTGGAATCCAACCACAAGTTAAAAAAAAAAAAAGGAATTTTGGAAATTACTATGAGGGAGAAATTGCACGCAGAAAATAGCATAAAAGATGTATGGATACTGAATTCATCACTATGTATTTACAGTCGTGTGTATTAGCAAACTGAAAGTCTTTAGGCCTTAGTGAATTTGAATGCATCAGTGTCCAGAAGTTATTTACTGATTTGGAAACATCTGCAAACTAGGAAGACAAAAACGTACAAAACCAATCAACCGTACAGCATTTAAGAAAATGCAAATGAAGGATGAAATTCAATTCTCCATGTAAAAAAATGTAAGTATTTATTAATTTAGCCAAAAGTCATATTTATAGAATATGCCAGTACTATTTTCTAAATAGAAGGTTATTTAATACACATTAAATCAAATGAGGAGAGACTGGGGAAGGGAGGAAGGGCAGAAATTACAGTGAGTAGCTGCTCTTGCGCTGGCAAATCCAGAACTTCTCGAAAGCCCTTGATAAATCTAAGATTCATGAACCGTAATTTTACGTAATCTCTGTTTTCGTATTTTAAATATCTCAAGCTGTCTGTATGTAGGAGATGCTGCTGCGGAATAAACACATCCCCCATATCACTTTATAGGAGAACTGCAGTAGGGATAAATATGTTCTAAAAGGCTTTGGCTGGGAAGAAAGCAACAACCATTATTTTCCCTCTTGCAAAATATGTTAATGAACCTAAAGTCCATGGGCCCCCCGATATCATTGTTTAGCTCTCAAACCAAACCACTTGACAAGCCATGCTCCCATCCAACATTGTTTGAAGCTCTGTGCACAAAACAAGATGAGAACTGAAAAATCGTAGGACCATGAGCACCTGTTGACTTCAGGGCTGGTTTAAGTTTGCAGGATCCGAGAGCGAGAGCAGCATCTGGCAGCTTTTCTGCTTCATTCAAGCATTAGCCTCGGTATTGTTCCAAAACGCTTCCTCGACCGGGGCTGCCGCAGCCCTTGGAGCGGTCATCTGGCTGGTGCAACGTTGAGATCATCTACTGAGCGCCAGCGAGGGAGACTCTTGCCTGGTGCATCACGCAGCTAACGCCCTCCAGGCAGCCCAGGGGTTGACGGGGACACAGCCGGGGCTAACACGGCACACGGCCCTGCTATTCTTCCCCAAAGTGACCTCTCCCCCTGACAGCTGACCATCCCTCTGGCCAAGCCCCTGCTTGCGGGTTTTGTGCCCTGGGCAGGGTTAGCGCCTGCATTCTCTTCGGGACCGGCAGCCACCAGGTGGGAAAAGCAGCATGTCAAGCAGACATGCGGGATGAGCTTTGCTTTGCTAACCCCAGTAACCCTCACTAAAGAAACTGATCCCATCGCTTCGCACCATTTTTGCTCTGCAAAGTTTTGTATTTGACATACACTACTCCCTGCAGGTCAATAAAAGAAACGGTGGTATTGCTCCTTGTGAGTCCATCTCAAACCCATGGACTTGAAGACCTACAGTTTCAAGGGAGATGACAAATACAATGTAACCTCATGTGACACACGCTGCAATTTTAAACAAAAATGAACATCCTTTAGATGTATCAGAGTGGAAGAAGTGGCCTGGAGTGGCCCCTTATTCAATTTATATCCAGCAAATGCCTCAGACAAAAATTAATATAGAAAGAATAAAGACAAAGCAAGACAAACAAGATGATGATCTAATTAATCCAAGACAGTTTAGAAAATATTTTTGTGCTAGTCCACGCTGTAGCAGCATTTCTGGAGTGCTGAACTTACACCAACACACGTACAAAGGGCAGGCCCTGTAAAGCAGAGCAGAGCAGGCACCCGTTTCGCTTTAAGGGCTGTACGAAGCGTTGCGCCTCACGTAAGAGGCTGCTTCCACACTGCGGCTGTGAAGGATATAAAGAGAAAAGGGGCTTGTGTCACGACTAAAATACCACTGCTGTTTCTGCTAGCAGGTTTATTTAATTAAAACAGTCTGAATTAAACTTTGGCTGAGATAAAGCAAGAACATTTTTAATTGCTAAAATTTGGGCCCTCTTCCCTGGGATCCCTCCTCCTTTAGAGGGCTTTACACTACAAAGAGCTTCTGTCAAAGTTTCCCAAGGACTTGCACAGTGCATGACGCTTCTCCACGCGCTGGAGAATTTAAAGCAATCCTGAAAAACAACTACTTGTGTGGGCAGTATTTTGCTATTTCTAACCGCACTGGCTAGCAATAACTAAAACTTTACCTTCTACTTGCACTTTACCCGTGACCTCCTGGCTCCACAGAGTCAAGCACCATGACATAATTTCTCTCTTACATACCAACGAATAAGTGATACCTTTTAAATGCTGCTGTAGTATTACAGCCTTCCCCCACAGGCAGCTGAAATAAGGTTATGCAAGAAATACACGAAACTGAAATCAGTGCTGAAATTTCACAGAGGTAGTAGAAGAGAGACTTCCCCATGTAAACACTTCTCCTCAGCCACTTCACCTACAGGCTTAACTTTACAGCTAGTTGGCCACTACTGGAGCCGAAGCCTCATCTAGGGTAAAACCACAGTCCCTGGAAATATACCAGGTGGGAACCTGGCGTCAGGCTGAGATCTGGCTCACAGTATATGAAGTCTGAGACACTGGCAGCACCAACAGTTTGCTCTGCAAAGGCTTCCACGGAGCATTCTGGGAGACTTTCTAGCACTTCTTGAGCAGAAATAAAAATGCTTGTGTTTGGTTTGTTTTTTTCTCATAGCCCTTTAATCTCCATTAATCTTTAGCACTAAGTCTATGTAGATATATATATACACACACACACTACATTCTATAACCTATGTTCCAGACACGTGAAAGATATGTGAAAGACCTCCCTATGTGCAAGATAAATTTTCCTGAAATGGGCTTTAAAAATATACACACTTACTGTTGCTCCCCAGCTGCAGGGAGGGATAAGGAGGAATGAAAACTACAAAATGTGGCATATGGCCACGCTCGGGAAATTAACAGTTTCTTCCGGGATTTATCTAATCATTTGTTTATTGACAGCTGACAGCTTCCCCACTATCCCTTAGCCACCTCCAGTTGAAGGAGAAACACAGCTCACCCCAATACCAACCAAGGGAACTGCATTGTAAAAAATGCGAGGAACAAACCCACAGGTAAACAGCTCACGCAATGCTGTGGTTTTAAGTTGCAGAAGGTTTTGATAGGTTTCCCTAGGAAAGGGAAACAAAGTTTGGGAATGCTCCTGATAACTTCTGCAGCACTGTGCTGTCTCCAAAGATTTCAAGAGAGGAGCAGAACTACGAAGACTTCATGCAACCGGGTGGCCAAGGAGAGCAGACAGACCCTGTACTCATTCCCCTCAGAAGAGGCAACAGTGTGAGCTCGTGGCTTTCCAGGCACCAGGACACATCCACTGGAAGGCAACTGAGACACAGAGCCCCAAGAAACCAGTCTGTATTACCCCACTGGTCTCAGAAATACTGGCAGCCTGAAAAAGTCAATAGTCCAAATCAAAGCAAGGTTGGGACACAGTTGCTGTAGATGATGAAGACATGAAGGTGAAAGACCTAAAGACACTGTTGCACAGGGTGAGAGGTTTAAAATGATGTGGAATAAAGTTCTTTACCTAGGACTTGCCCAGGTCAATCAGGTCCCACGATCAGAAAGTCCCTAACAGTGGTCAGTCCTAGACAATTCAGACAAACTCATTTTTTCAGCTTCCCATAGTTAAAAATTGCTTTCAGTATGAAACAAGAGGTTTAACGTTCTTCATAAGGAGTTAAAATTTAAGTACTAGAACTGTGTAAACCCTGTAATGCAAAGAGATGCTCCTGGGCTTTTGGCCTCCATGCCTTCTAATGGCAGTGCCAGTTTACCTACTCCTAAAGCAATTTCTATTATCAGTTCTGATTTCATTCCACCTCCTCTTGTTTCTGGGTGGTCAAGTAAAACAGAAGCTTCTGATAAAGGCTCTCTATGCTGCTCATCATTTTATAGACTATTACATTTCCCTAACACACGTCGGAGTTTTCCATCCAGAGAGTGCTATAAAAGCTTTGCTATGCGCCAATAATTTTTATTGGTCTAGTTCTATATTATCCCTTTCCAGATGACCAGAGTGCCCATGGTATCTCAGGTACACCCACTGATCTGTGTAACAGCTACAGATCTATAAAACATCGTAATATTTTCTTTGTTATTCTCTGTTCAGTTCCCACTGAAATCTAACACAATTTTTTGCCTGCAGTTTCACACTGAGCAGAGGTTTTCATCGCTGTTTCTCTCATGATGCTTCTGAGTTAACACAATACATTTAAAACCCAGAAGAGTGCATACTCGGTCCTTCTTCTCTCCAAGTGCTTCAGATTTTCAGTATTGAGATTTATTTCCTATCTTCTGCCTTCATTTTTCACTCATTCCTCAGGGGTTAGGTCTACAATTAAGTTCTGTCTGGTCTTTGCTGGGCTTGACTTAAGATAAAAAAACCCTTGATGTCATCAAAAAAATTTTGCTGTATCATTGCTCGTTCCTTTTTCCAGTTCATTAAGCAGCACCAGACCCAGCAAAGAACCTTGCAGCCCCCTCGCTGTTAACCTTTCGCTATGCTGAACGTTGTTTCTTGTCCCTTAGCCAAAAACCCTTAACGAGCCCAGTCTGCACCTTTACCATCCTTCTCTCCCAAGGTTACACCCAACTACAGTCCCTACCTGAACAAAACTCCCACGGATTTCCACGGTCGTTTTGCTTGACAGCAAAGGGTCTCCAAAAGTCAGGGAGCAAAGACTGCCCTCACCAGCAGCAGAGTAGCTGCGGTTACACGACTATCTCAGTTTATCTTATTTATAGATCTTTATGGATGTCGCCTCTTTGCCGTGCCAAAAGATCAGACTGTCAGCGCAAGCCCAGCGAGAGGTTCCCGCAGGTCAGCCCAGCCCAGGGCACGCCTGAATCTAGCTTTTCGGTTTCTCCGAGGATGGATGCACGCAGCTGTACTTTTCTACCTGTACAAGGCTGCAATGACACTTCTTATTGCTGCTCTCGTCATTCTGTTAGGACTTCACAACGAGCGGCTTCACTTTCCAGTGATCAAGTAACACCACAAACAGACAAGATAACGCTGCCAGCCTTCCCATACGGAACCAGGGAACCGGTTTCCTTGGCTTTTCTTAAAGGGCGATGCTGAGGAAAACAGTTCCTGGAAAGCAAGGTCCTGCTAACCGGCGGAGCGTTCGCGGTGCTTTGGAAAGGGCTGGGGTGTGCGGAGCTACCCCCACGCCAACCAAGCGTGCCGACTG